ACAAAGATTCTGACTATAATAAAATCGATAGGCAGGTTGAAGGGGAGACGCGTGTGGGCGTCTTTGCATCTAAAGCCATTGAGGTTGGAGAACCATTGACCTACGATTATCGGTATGCAATATGAAGCATTGATTTCCCGGTTTTTTTTTTTTTTTTTTTTTTTTTATATAATAATAATTATTATTATTATTTCAGAAATTGCTATGGTTTATTAACTGTCATTAAAACTCCGGTTCAATTATATCACAATGTTCGAGAAAAAATAAATCACGCATGCTTGTTTGTCGTCTATGGCTGTGCAACAACTTACTTGAATGTTTCAAATGTTTGTTTTTTTTTGGGACGGCAACTAAATTATTACGCGTTTGCAGATTTATACAATTCGGGCCGGAAGTTGAGTGTCGGTGTGGAGCTGCAAACTGTAACGGGTATCTCGGAACGAAAAGGAAGATTATTTTTGGACCAAAATCGAAAAGGAAGATGGAGGTATTGGAGTTTTCATGGGGTCCTAAAAGACAAAGGACTTCTAAAAGAGTGGTGGGGATTATTCTAAATTGATTTTAATTATTGGAAAATTTAAATTTAATAATTAATTAATGGAAAATCTCTTTAATGGTTTGTATATTGATTGATGTTGTTTGTTGTGAGTGAACACATTAATTATAGCAAGATGTGAATGAACTACAGTTTAATTGTTATTACAATTGAAGAAAAAGTTTTTTTTTTTTTTTTTTTGAGTTATAATAGATTGGGGTACCTCATTTTGCCCTTTGTAAATCTTGCATGTAATGTTGTTTTTTATTTTTATTTATATTATAATAAAAAAATTACAAAATAAATAATGAAATATATATAATTATATATATGTATATTTAATATGTTTTTTTATATTATTATTATTATTATTATTATTATTATTATTATTATTATTATTATTATTATTATTATTATTATTATTATTATTATTATTATTATTATTATTATTATTATTATTATTATTATTATTATTATTATTATTATTATTATTATTATTATTATTATTATTATTATTATTTGTTATTATTATTATTATAATATTTTATATTGTTATATATTTTCTAATAAAAATAATATATAAAAAATAAAAAGAAATTGAAAAAGCAGGCTCACGATTTCTTTTTCTTTATAATATACCACATTGCTGAAATTTTAATTATTTATTTATTGTGAAATCAAAAACCCATTGCGCCATGTGATTTTAGTAATAAGAAAATAACTATTTTATTCATGAACATATTATATAAGAGGAATTTGAAATTAATAAATTCAGTGACAGAAATTCACCAATTCCATAAGATTGCCTCATTCATATTATAATAACACAAACATAGTCAAATTTATTATATTTTTGCATGTCATTAAATATACATTTTTAATTAGATAAAATGTTATTCTAATAATATATATTTAAAGAAAAACCCCTCAAAAGTAAGTTGGTAATTGAGTCCATCTCCCTTTGAGAAAGCTTTTGCAAATCTCTGCCCAGAATTTTCTATCAGCTTCTCTTTCCATTAACTGCAGCTTAGCCTCTTCACCAAATCCTCTCTGTAATTAAAAATAATAAATAATAATAATAATAATATATTAAATAAATAAATAAATAATGTGGTACCTCAATGGCATTATTGGAAATAAGACGATCAATGAGGTTATTTAGAATATCATTAGTGTATTCAGGATGGCCTTGTATTCCCAATATATTGTCACCAAATGTGAACATTTCAACATTTGTTTTTTCAGAATAACCAATTACTTTTGCTCCAATAGGAACCTCCCACACCTATTAATTGTCAAAAATATATATATTAAAATTAAAATTTTTGCAATAACTAAATATATATTTTATAAAAAAAATATATATTGATAAATATACCTCATCTTGATGGCACTCAATAATTGAAAGATTTGGAGGAATAATTAATTCATCAATTGATGAGTAGAACTCATTTGTTAGGCTCACTTCCCTAACTCCAATATCCCATCCACTACTTGATTTTCCCACTTTACCCCCCAAAGCCCTACACAACACCTACAAATTTCAACAAAAAAAAAAATTAAATAATTGATCACGACGAATAAATATATATTATATCTGATGAAATACATCGAGTATGATATGGATATACCTGGTGACCGAAGCAAATACCGAGGACTTTCTTTTGCATGGCGAACAAAGATTGGAGGAGAAAGCAAAGATCAAGAATCCAATCGTCGTTACCGTAAGCATCATTAGGGCTACCGCTAATCACGAAACCCTCGTAATTGTGAAGTTCGTCGAGATTCGGAAATTGGCCTTCCACTACTCGAAAAAGATCCCACTTTTCGCCTTGCTCGCCAAACGCCTCCACGAACACATTCAAGTACCCACCGTAAACTTTCTTCACGTAATCCGAGTCGTTCGCCGCTAGTAGAAGTGCATATCTTTTCCCCTCTTCCCCCTTCATTGTAAAAAATATATGTAAATATTCTTCTTATTATTGCTTGAAAAGCTTTGGATTTTTTTTTTTTTAAGTTTGGTGAGGACTAAATTAATGTTTGTTTGTTTGCTGGGTATTGAGCCTTTCTTTTATAGGAGGGAAAAAGTTCCTAACTTGAGCATGAAAATATTGACGTGGTTATTTAATTAATTAATTAATTAATTAATTTAGAATAGTGGATTGTATTATGGGAAAGGATATATACAAGATCTTCTAATTATGGAATGAGGAATCATATATATAAGTCTTTCTTCTTTATGATTTATTGTATGGCTTAGCTAATGTGTTATATAGATCTTATTATTCAATATGCAAATGAATTTTTTTCGTATTATTATTAATTAATTATTCTTTTTGTTAATTAATTACTCTTTATTAGGCATAGATTCTGTCCCTTTATCTTTTCCAAAGTCTCTGGAAATAAATAAATAAATAAATGCAAGAATTTCACGTGGTTAACAAACTCTATTTCCCATGTGGGAATAAAGTTTATATACTATGCTGCATGCATCGGGTGAAATACACCGAGTGGATCTTTACCATTTATAAGCACGCAAACACAGACACCCCCATATTGGTGTGAAAACAGTAATAAGAAGTCAATTAATTGAGATTTCTCTTGATTTTTCCTTTACTAATGTCACTATTTAATTATATTTTTAGCCACACATTAAAATGGTATGTTGAAAACTGATGTGAACGACAATCACTCATTTTCGGGTTTTACTAGTGGAGATTACGCATGATATTTACTGTTTACTGGGAAATACTGAATGTCGTTTCAATTTTATTGGTATCGTTCGTAATATCGTTTATTATGTTCTCTGAATAATTGTTTTCTACGCTGAAAATGAGCATGCACGATGAGCCGACTTGAAACATAATTTTGACCATTTTTTATTCAGAATTTGGGAAAACTCAAATATCAAATTGGTAGTCCTTTGAGCTAAAATTACAACCACGACTACAAAAAAAAAAAGAAAGAGTTAACATTATAATACAATTTCAATGAGTTAATTTGGATATATTACTGGGATTTGGGCGTGAGAGAGTTATGCATGTTTGAACATTGCCCCAGTCACAATAAGTCGACTTCAAACTCGATTTTGGCTATATATCTTATAATACGGATCTTGAAAATTCAAAACATCAAAGTTATATTTGTCGTTTTACATTGTTACACATGTCAATATATATATATATATATATATATATATATATATATATATATATATATATATATATATATATATATATATGGATGTACTTTGATGCGTTATACCTAGTGTATAGCATATAATAAATTGTGTTTAAAATAAAAAAATAAAAAAAAAATAATAAAACACCTTAACATATATGCTAGCACCTAGAGCATGTTTCAATTTTCTTAATAAAATCATAAGATCTTGATTTTAATTTCAAGACATGTTAAGGTCATGTGTACATGTTGACAAATAAATAATACTTTTAATCTTTATTAGATATGTGAACTTGAAATGAAAGTTACACCTATATATAGAGAATTGGTAATTTTTTGTGATGCAAATGGTCCAAAAAACTATTCTATTAGAACTTTTTGCAATGGAATATTTCACAAATTTGATACCCTCCCAATAAATTCTTGATTTGGGCAAAAACAGACCACATATTTTTTTTTTACAGAATCTGATATCTAACGCGAGAATTGAAAAAAAAAAAAGAATAAATTGCACTTAAACCCCTCTGATTTGAGCTTTGTGCACATGACCTCTTATACTTTCAGTATAAGCACATGAATCCTTAATATATTCTCATGGCAATTGATATGTCACTAATGCTATTTTGCCACAATTTTTTCTGTTAATACTCATGCATTAATGTTTTGTCACAAAGACAATACAGTTTGCACCGATTCCACATTTGGTCTCCATATTCATAAAAAATACATTTGATTCTTCATGTTTCAATAATTTCACATTTTTGACCATTTTCATCAATTTGCCGTTAGTTCCTCAATTAAGACAATCATGGGAACATGCTTGATTCCGTTAGTACTAACAAGGATTTGATGGAAATGACTAAAAATGATAGAATTTTAAAACACGAGAGACCAAATATGCTTTTTGTGAATAGTCAGATATGAAATTAGTGCAAACTTGAGGGATGAAAACTGTATTTCTCCCAAAAATTAATATTAAGGGGAGCATAATATATAAATGAGAACACATGCATGGCTTAAGGGGTATTGACAATTTATTGTGAGCCCTTTACATTAAATACCAAGTAAAATAGCATGAATGGCTTAAGGGGTAGTTTTGGTAATTAATATTTTTTACGAATAAAGTATATAGAAAGCACAACTCATTTATTTATGATAAGGATAGGGGATCAATAGATGGTTCCACGTAAAGGGAATCATTATTAGTTAGAGATGCAATACATTAATTACCAATTAAATCATTTATAAGTAGAAAAATAAATAAATAGATTACTACTTTTTGGTATCATATATTCGCTTTGGTTTGATCCTTGATGCATCACAAATGGAATCAAGATTCTCATAGCATGGTGCATTAGTATATCATAAAGAGTGTAATTTTTTTAATATTTCATGTAAAATAAAAGGAATTTGAGAAATGTTGGGGGCGATGGCGTCCCTCTGGTCCTATATATGCTGGCTCCGCCGAAATATATACAGATTGTGATTGCATCCAAATTACGCGAACAAACTAACAAATACGCCGTTTGCGATAACCAAAAAAAAAATTCAATTTTTTTTGGTTGGTGGCAAGAAAAAGTAAAGTTAAATGTGTCATCTCCCTTTTGCACAATATAATATACTATGTAGTTCTATCATCTAAGATTTTCAAGGTATTGGATTCTTATTCAATCTTCTCTTAGAGAACTTATCATGTGACATATAGTTTTCCCATTTTCTTCAAAAGTAGTTACAATTTGTTAAATGGAGTTTTGCCCACCACCACAACTAACTAAGACAACATTGGACCTAACACAAAAAAATGGTTCTTTTTTGTTTGTTTCCTTATTGCTTGATGCATAATAGTTGGGTGAATTGCGTTTTGCACCCTCAAAACAACATGGACTACCGCTTTGAACCCTCAAATTTTGAAATTGGCAAATTACACCCTCAAATTGCATATATCATGGCAAAATGTACCCCACACCTCTCTCTTGTGACATTATAACCAAAAGATCAATATATCGCGATATTTTAGCATTTTAATATATTCTATCTTGGTTTTTGTTTTGTACTTTATATTTTATCACCGTGATGATTTATTTTTGTTAGTTTTCTGTATCAAAATCGAAGTTATATATGAACTTAATAATTTTCAAATCTCATGATATATTTATCTTTTAGTTAAAATTTCCCAAGAAACAATTGCATGGTTCATTTTACCATGAGATATGCAATTTGAGGGTGCACTTTGCCAATTTCGAACTTTAAGGGTGCAAAATGCCAATCCTTTGCATTTTCAGGGTGGAAAATAACAAACTTGTTTAAGACCCAGGATAGTATTGATTTTGAAAAGCTTTAAATCATATCATCTTAGTGACAATTTACAAATATTTAATTATTTAATTTTATATTATATATGTGAACAGTGAATACCCAATATAAAAGTTCGAGGGTGCAAGTTGCAACCCTAATCTTGATTTATGACTAATCATAATTAGAGGAAGTACCAAAAGGTGGAGTATATTCTTGTACTTATGAATGTAGACGCATTATACCGTTGCATCCATTTTTTAGTGGAATTTTGTTTGGGTTTATGGCATCAAAAAGTTCAACTTGCATGTATGTTGGATCACGTATTGCATACAAAAAGGCTAAATTAGGTAAATTTCAATAATTTTTTGTAAAAAAAAAAAAAGGTAAATTTCAATAATTAATTAAACAATTAATCTTAGAAGGTATTTGGCTAATAAACTGTTAAATAGAACTTATAAGATGTTTAGAGTCTATAAGCTCGTGTTTGGTATTTTTTCTTTAAAAAAAAAGGTTAAATACAGTTTGCACCTTTTTACTATTATCACTGTCGCATATATCTCTCTGTACTATGAAATGTGACAAAACAACCCAGTCGTCCATCTATGTTACAAAAGTTGTCCCTTTCAATAGCTGTTGAAAAAATTTCTGACCAAAATACCCCTTTGATTGTGTATAAAATATGCGCATCATTCTTCACTCATTTGTACTCAATTTGTAAATAAATTACTCGGTTTAAAAATGTCTTCCGGTAGTTCAAATTCTCAAAATCCATATTTTAGGTCCAAACACTACATGTCATATTTTTCTGGAACCATTTTTGTTTTTATGTACGTGTTCGATTTTTTTTGCCAACGTTACATTGAATTCTATCAAATAAGACTAAGGGTGAAAAGGTAACTACACTGCAAAAACTAACACTGTTAGAGTTGACTAGTAAGGTGAAGGACCGTTTTGTCGCATTTCATAGTACATGGGGTATATGTGACAGTGACGATAGTATAGGGGTGCAAACTGTATTTAACCCTAAAAAAAATCATAAAATTTTAAAAAATTGGCAAATAGGCCCATGAGAAAAATATTTCTTTAAAAAAGAGGGATCCTACTTTTTTGTCTTGCAAATATATCCACCTCATTCAAACTTATTTGCTATTAAGGAAAATTCTTTCATATATACCAAAATTACCCCCAACTCCTTGAAACTCTAATTCAACTCCAATCTCATCATTTACACCCAATTTAGCTCAATTTCACCAATTAACCAATTTTGACCGTTGGTCTCCGGCGTTGATTTTTTTTTTTTTCCTGAAAACTATTTTTCATTAATATTATTGTTTCAGACAAAAGGCATGGAGATGAGTTTATTTACGAATTTTTTTTTTGTCTGGACTTATGTGCATTTAAGTGCCTTGCCATGGGCCCATATGCATTTGCCCTTTAAAAAATTAGTTGCTCGAGAGCAAATAAGATTTTTTAAAAAGTACATTTACCACATCTTTTTATTTAAGATCTTATAATGGGTAAAAAATAGTTTATAACAAGGGGCATGCTAAATCCCACACTAAAATTTACTAAATCCCACATATAAATTAAAAAAAAAATCTCTCTACTTATATTCTCTCTAATTTTTTTCTATGATGACTTTTTCCAAGTCACTCAAAATTCGTTAATCTTTCACGTGAATAATCATAAAAAGTGAGTTTAGGCTTATTTAATATTTTTCAATTTCATTATGCCTTTTTAATTATTTAAATTCATATCAATTCGAATTTCTTTCTCAAATTCGAACTTTATTTTAGTTTGAACACATGAAGATTTTTCTCAAATTCGAACTTGGAATGACATGGACGTTTTTAGTGTGTGATTTTATTAAAAAAAAAATAGGGAAAAAGAAGAAGGGTGGAGAATGAGAAGATGAGATTTTAGAGAGAGAAAAAATTTCAATTGTGTTGTGTGTATGATTTGGTAAAGTTGGTGTGGGATTTAGCATATCAGTTATAACAAATACTTTAAAAATTAACTAAAAAAATACATAACAACTTATCAACTCTTAAAACATCTTATCAGATGTTTAAAATAAGTTTAGCCAATCAAACACTTATTGAATGTTTGGTTAGTCCAACAACTTTTTGAGTTGTCCACAATTGTTGGGGAAAAAAAAAAGAATAGCTTTAATATTGGTAGTTGGGAGAATAGTTCTTAGATCTCTCATAATTCAACGATACAATTGGATTAAAATTATTTAATGATGTCTTGCCTAATTTCATTTTAGCTTCCTGGCAAGGTTAGAACTATAACATATTTTCTTAAAATTGCATATAAGGTTACCTATATAAACTTGTTGCTAGACATGCGATAAATACAACATGCAATACAAGGGTGGATGTGTAAGGTGAGAGGTGGTTGTAATTATCCAAACATGGTTTTCTTTCGTAATTTAACCTTACCTAAGAGAATGACCACAATTTATCCTATAATATATAAATTTAAATCCTCATAACTTAAAAAAAGTCGACATTTGACATCACATTTATACGATACGTATCATGCCTACATGTTGGATTTAATTGTTCCATTTGTTTCGTTTTGAAAACATGATCCTCACCCTAATATTTTTAATGCACATATTTTGTTATGATCACATAAAATCACGATCCTCACCCTAATATTTTGTTTTTTGTTTTGTAATTATTACAATTATCTTAATTTTCTACCTGTTCGTTCGATCATGTTATCTAAACAACAATTTGCACTTTTGAACTAAATCCTTACTTAAAAGTAAGTATCACCTGCATTCTTAATTTTTTCATCTCGAACTTGTCCTTACATTAAATACATAACCCCTCCCCCGACCGTCACTCGATTTCATGATCGTGGGAGGCGATGACTATGGTGATGGTAGTCGCGGTCATAGGGGGACGATTATGGCAGTAGCGGATGCGGCAGCTATGGCGATGCTCCGGAGACATTGGTGTTAGGTCAGATCAACGGTGGGAGGTGGCGGCTATGGCGATGGTCATCGGAGACGGTGGTGTGAGGTCGTATAGATGGTGGGAGACGACTGCATCAACCTTGGGTTCTTTGATGACATTAGGTTTTGGTGGACTGCTAAATTTTTATAGATAGGATTTGGTGGCGACTGGGAGGAGTTTTTGGCTGCTAGAATTTGACGGCGATTGGAAGTTGTTGACTACTAGGGTTCAGTATAATATAGTAAACTATAGTACATCATAATATACTACAATCCCTCTATTAATAAATGTACTAATAAAACTTTGATTTGAATGACATGCCACTTTTTACTCTCATAATCATTAAATAAATGATGAATATGTGAGGAAATACTTTTTTCAACATCTTTAAAATCAATTTTAATCATTTTAAAATTATAATTTCACGGAGGAAAAGAAATTGAATTTTAATTTACTTTAATTTAATTGTTTACTTTTCCTTCATTATTAGTGTAAACATTTGAATGTATAAATCATGTATAATATTAATTGCAGTAATAATATATATATATATATATATATATATATATATATATATATATATATATATATATATATATATATATATATATATATATATATATATATATATATA